CAAAACCACTCTGCGACTCCTCAGACAAAACCACTCTGCGACTCCTCAGACAAAACCACTCTGCGACTCCTTAGACAAAACCACTCTGCGACTCCTTAGACAAAACCACTCTGCGACTCCGTAGACAAAACCACTCTGCGACCCCGCGCGCGCTCAGACAAAACCACTCTGCGACTCCGCAGACGAACTCAAAACCCCAACCAATCAAAAAACGACGAACCTCCATAACCAGTGGCACATGCGAACGTCACCCAAGCCAGACTCAGCGCATATCCATTTCTGCCCACGAGCACGTAAGCGATCCTCATCCAGTCGCTAATCTCCCCGGTCCGTGCGTAATCGAACAAGCCAAAAACAGCGCCAAAGCCGAACGTCATCGAAACGACCCATCCCAGTGCTATTTTCCACTGAAATTACTCACTATTCAGTCAGCGAATCCGCTGAAATCAATTCTGCAAATCGCTACCAAATTTAACTCATAATTCGAAAAATAACCCAAAAACTTAAATTACCAAATAAAAACCCAAAAAATACCACCCACAAACCTTCGGGAAAACCGGTTTCAGACCAAATTTATGCAGCGCAAAACCAATCAATAAACCCATCGCATACGGCGTACAACGGATATAGGGCTTCACGTACACATNCAACGGATATAGGGCTTCACGTACACATCAGGCCAATACGTTTCCAGCTCTTTCACACTGTAATTTCAATCCACTTACAAATTTGTTCCCGCATCTCTGACAATTCCCAAAGACTGGGAAAAAGTTTAAACGGTTTCCCAAAAGCCGGGAATAAGGCTGCAAAAAAGCCACTAACATCTGCAAATGGGCTGTAAGAAGCGGCGCCGGCGGGTAATCATGTGCGAGCACCACTGCCAGATGCGTGATTGTTGACGCAGCGATTACGCCCAAACACGCCAAAATACCGAGCACGGATGACCTGAAATTAATTAAAGGTGACCTGAAATTAAGCGGTGGCAACCAAACCATTCAAACTCTAAACCTTTGATGAATTTGCAAAAATTCCCGTCAAAATGCGGCCAAAATTGCCCAAATTTGTGTCAAAATTCGGCCAAATTTCAAATTAAAAAACAAAGAAAAAGACCAACTTAAACAGCAGAATAAGGAATATGGGCGCAAATAAATGAAACTGCATGTCGTTCGC